CAAAAAAAAAAAAAAGTACAACAAAACCATATTTGTTCCGATCCCATTTAATTTAATCAACTCTGACACAAAGAAATTTGATTTTACATCATCGAACAATCACATGCATCTACCTAGTTCTTCACAGATTAGAAGAAGTTGAGGAAGAAAAAGCCAACCACAACATGTTCATAATGAAGGGTTTACATTACGTTTTTTTTTTTTTTGGAGCACAAAAGAAAAAATGCTATTATACCACTACTTACACACTCAAACCTCCATGTCCCATTCAACAGCAAACTAGCTCCAATTTTTCTTTATCCTGTGCCCTTTATGCGTCTAATTTTTCGAATTGAAGGCATCCCTAATCTATCAAGGCGAATTGCCCCACGAGCCATACTTGGGAACGTATTAAAGGACTCGTATAGCTTGAGTTGATGCTCTGGATGAGATACGCCCACATTGGACAATGCATCAGCAACTGTGTTAGCTTCCCTGTAACAATGTGAAAAACGATCAGGATCTTTGACGAACTGCCAAATCTGCTTAATCTGTCGTCGAATCTTCCAGGGGCACTTAATACGATGTTGAAGAATTCCAACTAAAATCAAAGAATCCGATTGAACATAGAGATTCCCAAAATCCCTATATACACATATATGAAGACCAATAAGGGTGGCCCGAACCTCTGCACAGAGACATGTAGTTTCCCCAAGATATGCTGAAAAGCCAATCAAAGGTATGCCATTTGAGTCCCGAAGAACTCCACCGCGCTCCACCCACTCCTGCATTACCTTTAGAACAGCCATCCGTATTAAGTAGGAATCGACCGGATTCATTTGTCTCCCAACGAACAAGTTTGTATGTAACCCCAATATTAGAAGAATACGGCCAATCATACAAATGATAAAATAACTGTACTCTGAACACTTGTTTGAAATGAATTCCCACCATGGTCTAGATATCCGAGAAAATGGCAAGACAAATGGCAGGCGACCTCATCTGGACTTCCTCAAACAATGCTTTATTTCTTGCTTTCCAAATCTGCCAACAGACTACACTGGAAAAAATGCATCCAATAAATCGTCTTATCTCAGAATCATGTGAGCTCAACCACCAACCCACTATGCAGGGCCGCAAAGATGACCCTGGGAAGGTCAAACCACATGAAGCTCCAAAATAATTCCAAACTGTTGATGCTATATGGTCATTGCAAGATAAATGCTCAATTGACTCCTCAGATGCCGAATAGCAGCAAAAACACTTTGAGAGTAAATGAAAATCAAGTTTACATAACCTATCCGGTACCAACAGCCTCCCCAGCAACAATCGTAACATGAAGAATGAAACTTTCAAACGAAGCTAAGGATGCCAAATTCTATCAAAAACATAGACGTGTTACAGACTTGCCTAATATCTCGAAATGGCGAAGCTAAAGAGAAGTTTTCAGATGTCGTGGGCATCCAAATGACTTTAGCTTCACCCTCTTCTTTCGGGACCGGGTGCTTTAAAATAGAGGGCACCATTTCCCTTGGCAGTGTCTGATATAACAGATTCACATCCTAGTGTCCATTGATGATGAAATTGCCAAACGACAAATTAGGGACAACCATCGCTCGGAGGAACAAAACACCACCCACAACCAGTTGTCGTGCCAAAAATGACAAGCTCCGTCTTTGGCAACCCATAGCATAGAAAGCTCCACTTATCTACTCACATTGACCATCCTCTGCCAGAGTGCCGAGTCCGTTGCCCTAATTTCTACCTGACAAGGATGTAAATGCCTACAATACTTTGCTTTCAAGAATGCAGTCCACAACAACAAACCCTTTCTGAAGTTCCACCAAAGCTTGAATGAGAAGGCTGTATAAACGTCCTGTAGCCTCCAAAAATCGACTCCTCTCTCATCTACCGGATAACACATATGAGACCACTGTATCCAGTGAAATTTCGACTCCTCGGGTGCTGACCCCTAAAGGAAGGTCGAGAAAATCTTTTCTATAGTTCCAAATACCTTGCCCAGGATAACCGCAGCTAACAACAGATGCATTGGCATCGATGCCAACATATGTTTGATTAGAACTATCTTGCCTCCAAAGGAAAGTATCATTGATTTCCATGACATAATTCTCCGTAGAATAGACTGACACACTTTCCCAAAGTATGAAAATTTACATCTCCCAAAGAAGAGTGGGAATCCCAAATAACATATCGGAAATGACTGCCAAGTAAAATTGGTGATACGTTCAATCACCCTTTGTCTTGCTGGTAACAACGATGGATGGACCAAATAACAACTTTTTAGCACATTTATCAGCTGTCCCGAACACCTTTGATACGCCTGTAGCATCTGCATGATAACCTTTAAAAAATAAGAGAATCCGTTTGCAAATATGAGAACATCATCCGCAAATGTCAAATGAGTTATAGAAGGACATGTAGACGGGACTTTGAAGCCCACAAAACCCGATTGCATGCCATGATTATTCAATCCTCTAGATAACACCTTAGCTCCTATAATGAATAACGCAGGAGTTAATGGGTCACCCTGACGGAGTCCTCTCGTAAACTTAAAGAAACCATGTGATGTCCCATTTATAATGACCGAAAACCAGGCATTAGAGATCAATCGCCATTCCAAATCAATAAATCTTTCACCAAATCCAAATTTCCTGAGAACACCAATAATATGATCCCATGCTACTCGGTCATACGCCTTAGACATGTCAAGTTTCATTACCACAGTGTGACCTCTATTCTTTTTTTCAATACCCGATACTACCTCCTGAGCTAGCAGAAAGTTTTCTGTTATATTACGGTCCTTCACAAAGTCTGTCAGCTGGGGTGAAATAATTTTGGGCAATACATAAGCCACTCTATCAGTTAAGATTCGAGATAACAACTTGTTGAAGAAATTACACAGATTGATGGGCCTAAATTGAGATAACTCCTGAGGATTTGGCATCTTTGGAATTAACACAATGGAGGTAGAGATGATGAATCGAGGCAACTCTACCTCACAGAAAAAGCTAAGTATGGCATTATAGACATCTTGGGCAATAACTTCCCAGGTGAATGTAAAGAATTTACCTGTGAAACCATCTAGGCTAGCAGCACTGTCCCCATCCATTGACCTCATGACTCGATAAACCTCGTCAATCGAAGGCACTTTCTCCAATTTTTCATTATCATCTTCTAAGATCATGGGCGGAATTAGGTGCCGCATATCAGAAGATAACTCCAAAGGGCCGGTGAAGAGATCAGAAAAATATGTTATTGCCTCAATTGCTATATCATCATTCGTGTCCATCCAAACACCGTTTGACTTTCTGATGCAGTGTATCATTCCTTGAACCCGTCTCTGCCTGACTACCGCATGAAAATACCTTGAATTACGATCTCCCTGTTTAAGCCATTTTACCCTGGTCTTTTGGCTGCAAAATTGCTCTTCAATTGACAATGCACGCCGCAACTTCGCCTGAGCCTTATTGAGCTCAACCTGACCTTCCTCCGATACATATTGATCCATAGTTTCCTCTGCTCATTGGACCGCCACTTCCGCAGAGCGCACAACATCAAATACATTACCAAAGTGTTGCTTGTTCCATGTCTGGATAGCCCTCCTTGTTGCCAATAATTTAGAGTACAAAGCACGCAACGGTGATCTATCTACATCTTGATTCCAAGCCTGTCAAATCACCTCCAAGAGTTCGGATTTGGTCGTTCAGACATTCAAAAATCTGAAAGGCCGGGGCTTATTATCTGATCGATTTGCAAACGAAATTTTCAACGATGCATAATCCGAGGGATGTCTTGCCAAATGAAGCACGGAAATTACGTCTGAGAAATCCAAACAAGCCCCATTGACTAAAAACCTATCCAACCTCTTTGAAACCCGAGCTCTACCTCTCCGATTATTAGACCACGTGAAACTAGCTCCCGAAAATCCTATATCAAAAACCCCCGCCTCTTCCATAAAAGACATGAAATCCGCCCTTTCCACTATAACAAACGGACGTCTCCCACGTTTTTCATGAGGTGATAATATTACATTAAAGTTACCCCCAATACACCAAGGTAGAGAAATTGGCTTATCATTTAATAATGTGCACCATAAGTCACGACACTCCTCTACTGAACACTTAGCATGGACAAAAGACATGACAGTTGGAGTAGAAAGCAACTGACTTTGAACATGTATAGAAATATGCTGATCCGAACTACCAACAATGGAACACACAAAAGGACTACTATAGAATACCCAAATGTCACCCAAGCAATTAACAAAGGTATAATCAAATAATAATCGTAGACGAATGGACTCAATTTTGGACACATCTAGTTTTGGTTCACAAATCACAACAAACTGAAGATGATGCATACGTACTAATTTAATCAATCTTCTTAAATTAGGGGCTTTAGCTACCCCTCTAATATTCCAAAATAAACCACTAATCATGAGAACAAAACCTGGAATGAGTTCTGGGATGATGTCGCTGAACGTAGCTGTCTGTCGGATGGGAAACAAGCTCGCACACCCTTAGCCTGCTCTTATCGGTAATCCCTCTCAACGACTACAGATTGGTCAATGTTTAAAGCGTGTATTGATGGCTTCATCGACCTCTCACGTGGTACCACCAATCTTGGAGATAAATTTCCTGCGGTAATTGGCAAAGCTACTTCATCAACGGCATTTGATTTGGAATTTTCATCCTCAACCCACGCAAGTCGACATAGAGATTGTTGAGCTTAGTGCTGTCGGCCTTATGATGATGTTCACCTTCCAAATTTTGCTCCTCAATAAGCTGAGACCCCTCACATTCATGCCCATTGGCATTGTCGGCACTATGATTTATCAAGCTAGTAGTGTCGGCCATTTGCTGCGGTACCTTTCCCAAGATTTGCTCCACTAGAGTTTGGGACCCTTCACAATCATGCCCATGGTCATCCTCCAGTTGGACTGTAATCACCATATGCTCCTTATGCAATGGTCTCTCCATGTAATCATCAGAAGCCGCTGACTATCCATATGCATCAGCAGCCGAAGGTTCTGTTTTTCGTCCCTTCTCGACAGCGTGATCTTTGACAGCAACACAGTTGGACTTATCATCTTGTGGAAGTATTGTTTCCCCTTCCTCAGCTAGCAGAGCAGATTCAACAGTTTTCTCCATTACACCTATAGTCGTTCCTTCGTCCTCAACCGCCCTAGAAAGTTGCGCATTTACTTTCCCGTTAGCTTCTATGTTGCACACAGGTGTAACTAACGCATGCTGATTGTTTCCAAGTAATTGTGAACCACGTTGCAGCCGTATAGATTGATTATTGTTGTGTCGATATCCAATCTCGGTGAAATTCTTCTTACAATTCTCAGACGAATGACCCAATCTCCAGCAAGATGAACAATATGATGGCATGTTGTCTGGTACAATTCTTTGCCAAAAGCCTAATTCTCCTTCAACAGCCACCCAGATCCTCGGCACAACTATCTTCGCTACATCAATCTCCACGCACACCCTGACGACACTAGGACGTGTCCCAGCAGTCGTTGCCGAATCCAGGAATAATGGTCTTCCAATTGGAGATAGTATGGAGAACAAAAAATGTTTATCGAAATAGTGAATAGGTAAATTTGGAAGATCAACCCAAACCGGTACCAGAGATGACTCTATATGCACATGAAAATCCCTGGTCCAACGAAATACACGCATCGGATATTTGCCCAATTGCCAAACCCCTCACGTCCAAATCCTATTAAAATCTACTTCAATAGTGCACTTAATCAGAACATGCCTATAGTCCATCAATCCAATGAAAATGTGGTCTTTTAGGTTTAACGAAGCAAAGAACTTGCGAGTATCTTCTAATGATGGTCTCCCATGAGAAAATTTTCCAACCAAAGCCCATCTAAATGGTGCCGCAAGTTTTTCCGCATCAGCTCTGGAGAAGATGACCGCAGCTTCACCTTTATAAACAGTCGCTTGCCGAATTTGGATAGGAGATGTTGAAGGTTGTGAAAAAAGTTGAGAGAGATTTTTTTGTTGTAGAAGATCCTTGCCCCTCAGCCGACGGCTAAAGGGCAGCCAAGCAACGTAGCAGAAAATCGCAGAGCTTTTTGCAGAGAGAAAAGAGATAGAGAGAGAAAATTCTTACATTACGTTTTAATCATACGTAAACCTAGTGCTTTTTTAGTATGAAATATGACTATTTGTCCATTTTCGTCCTCCAAACATTCTTCTATGTGCACACACAAAATCACACCTCCCTATTCTTCACCATAAATCACACAAAAGCAAAAGAAAAAAAAAATCAATCGCTGAGAATAGGTTAGCCGCATACGTTACAAATCCGCAACTCCTTCTCACTCAGTTCATGTGCGAATTCAGCATTCCTAGTTGTCTTCACACTCAATCAAATCAAGAAAGTTCTTTCAATAGAATATTGATCTTTTTTTTTTTACATGCTGTTTACACACCTTGAGTCGTTGGTTATCTACCAGTGTCCTGGAGAACGAATTGAGGGCATGAATAGTTCATAATTGATTTGAGTATAGGTGGAACCAAAAAGTTTATTTTGAGGAGGCAGATTCTAATTCAACTAAAACTTAAATATATAACTTGAAATATTTTTAATTTTTTGCTAGGGCAAAAGATCAAATTTACATAGTAATTTTTTTTAAAAAAAAAAAACTTTCAAGAGAGAAAATGTTTTAAAACTTTTAGTTCCGCCCATGGATTTGGACATATTACCTGCTCTAATCAGCCAATTTCATTTCATATTTTTCTACCGTAAGATGATAATTCATGGATACATACTTTCCCTGCAGTATCCGTGCCCACCAAATAGTAGAAAATAGGGTTATCATGGATGCTGCAACTTTTAAAATTACAAACAACTTTTAAATATTAGATTGAAAGAGTTGTAACATGTCATGCTACTACCATCCTCAAATAAAATATGAAATATGCAATTAATTACATTGTTTATAAATTTCGTGCAACATCTGCTAAAATTTGCTCATCCTCTAATGCCCACTAGTGGTTGCTTTGCCATAGGTTTCAGTTAATGCTTTGAATAAGTTTCATGGTATCATTTTTTGGTTCACCTTTACAAATCCAAGCGTAACATTTTATAGGAAGCAAAAGAAGAAAAAGTAAACCTAAAGCTATGTGTCTCCTGTCATGCAGTATCCTCGTGATTTTCTTTCCATAGACCGAAGAAAATCACGCTTTTGCTTTTCTGCGTTTTAATTGGGAAGAAAAAGAAGAAAAATCTAAACCCAAGATTGCCTTCACCTTTTAAGAAACCACTATAAAAATGTAGCAATCTGCTTCATTCTTTAAATCAAGTCTGGAGGTCTTTTTGAAACCTAGAAAAACTAGTCACAATTAACAAATGGAAAAAAAAAATATTGGCATGGTAAATTCGTCAATATGGGGCCTGAGCTTTGTTTTCTTGGCATAGTAAATTCGTTAATATGGGACCAAAGTGGGAAGGAATGAATAGTTCAAGGTGCAAAGTGTTGCAAAATGAAGATTTTGGAGCAAATTAAAGTGAGAATTGAAGTAAAATTTTGGTGCAAAATTAGAATTTCCTCGTTGGGCAGATTACCAGCTCAGATGAGACTAATTATATAATTTACTTTCTAACTAGCGGCGGAGGTAATTCATGTGCATAATTTTCCATGCAGCATCCAAGCCCATCAAATAAAATGTGACATATGCATTTCATAAATTTGTTTATACATTTCAAGCAAACATCTGCTAAATTTTGCACATTGTCTAATGCCCAATAGTGATTGTTGTTGCCCCAAATCCTTACAAAGGTTTAAGATACTTCAACTAAGTTTTATCGTATCACCTATTGATCTAATCTCGTTAGCCTCATCCTTCAACAGTGCTCGTGCCCTTCTCGTGCTTGAAACTCGATTCTTCATACATGGATGAAGTTCACTAAATTGAAGTTGTCTTCACGGTTTAAAACCACTTCCGATCCTCAATCCCAATATGGAGCCCCCTTATCAACCCACACTCTTCAAATCTTGACACTATAATAAGTCATATTGTAAAAATTGATTTAAGTGACCTCACGTGACACGTGTCAAAATTTGAAGAATGAAACCCGATAAAGAACTCCGTTGGTACTAAGGATCGAAAGTGGTTTAAAACCACTATAAAAATTCTAACAGTTTGCTTCACTCTTCAATCAATTCAAGAAGTCTCTTTTAAGGTTTAGAAAAGCAAGCTAGAATTTACAAATGGCCAAAAAAAAATAGCACAGTGATTAATGTCTTAATGTAGGCAATGTAGTGGCCCAAAATCCCACGTTGTGAAGATACTTTGGCGTATAGTCAATTGTAAGATTTGGTAAATGGTTATAGATTTGGTGTGTATGTACTAACAAAATCTACGAATACAATAATTTATCATAAGTTTCATAATCATGTATAAATTCTTAAGGGAAAATCGTTCAAAAAGTCCCTCACATTTTGTAAAATAATTTTTTTCATCCATCACTTTTAAAAATGTAATTTTACGTCCTTTATAAATTCACGTTGATCAACTTTGGTCTTTACCTAAGTTTTCGACTAGTTTTTTGTCGAAATTTACTACATGCTTTTACGTGATCATTTTTTAGGGGCAAAATTGTCAAATTGAATGTCACATAATTTGATTTTTTCGTTCTTCACATTTTACAAAATAAATTTTTTCGTTTCTCATATTTCAAAAAATGAATTTTTCATCCCATACATTTTCACAAAATGAATTTTTTCATCCATCATTGATAATGTGTATGCATAGTTTTTTTTTTTTTTTAAACCCATGTATATATCTATTGGATTTCACCTAAACAATACTAATAACATGTAATATATTTCTATTTGATTTCGTCTATAACGACAATTAGCTTATTTCAATTTGATTTCTTCTACAGCTACAATTAGTTTATTTATGTGAAATTAAATAAAGATATATTACATGCTATTTGTACTATGCAGGTGAAATCAAATAGACATATACATAAATTTTCAAAAATAAGAAAAGGCTATCGTACACATGATCAATGAGAGATGAAAATTTTTATTTTGCAAAATGTGAGGGATGAACAATTTTATTTTGTGAAATGTGATGAATGAAAAAATTCATTTTGTGAAATGTGAGGGGTTATGGATTAGATTATGTGAAATGTGTTTGATAATTTTACCCCAAAAAAATGATCACATGCGAGGCATGTGGTGGATTCTGACAAAAAACTAGTCGAAAACTTAGATAAGGACCAAATTTAACCAATGTGAATTTGTAAGGGACGTAAAATTACACTTTTAAAAGTGAGGGACGAAAAAGTCATTTTACAAAATGTGAGGGGCATTTTAAACGATTTTTCTAATTCTTAAAAACAAATATAATTGTCAAACAAAATCGGATACAACAAAAACATACCTCTCCCATTCTCATTAAATTTTATCAACTTTAGCACAAAGAAACTTGATTTAACATCCACAAATAGTCGACACATGCTCCTACCCAATTATTCAGAAATTACAAGAAGCAGCAAACGAAAAAGCCAACAGAATCTGTTCGTAATGGTTTTACGTTACGTTCAATCGTACCTAAGCCTAGTGCTTCTTTTCTAGTATGACGTATGAATTTTTGTCCTCCTCAAGTCTTAGAATGCATTTGATAAAACTAAAATTTAAAATTTGAAATATGAATCCGTTAAATTATTTATTATTTATTTTTTAAAATAAATTTAAATATTAAATTGAATTATCAAGGAGGACCTTACGTTCAACTTTCAACACTTTTATCTTCTTATCTTCAAAACAAGAATATTATACTGTTCAATTAGCTCTTAGCTTATTTAGTAGTTGGTCACATGAATTCATAGTAATTTGCATTGTGCATTTATAGTGGTTGCTATATACAATTGTTAGTTTTCGTCTCTTTAAGTTCCATTTTAGTTTTACTATGATTTATTTGCTATATTAGTCTTCACCATAGGTTCAAATGTGATGCCATATGTCTTGAGCAATTGTTTAATGTCTCAAGCAATTGAAGTCCTCGGGCATTACTAACGAAATTGTGGTGAAAGCTAAGCTCCTCTACCCCGGATTTGCAAAATCAATTCTCCGTTAGTCATTTGTGAGAAGCAAAAACTCCTCACGTTCTCTTTTGCTTTCTTTGTAGATATCCAACCATATCCATATTTCAAAAAATTTTCATGAAGGATCTTGCCATGGTTAGTGATTCCATATAACTGAAAGTTTGACTAGGCAATTTACTAATCTTTAAATTTATTGCACACACCTATGATAACTACAACTAAGCTAATTAATCAGTGAAAAAGATGATATCTGGAAGGATTATCTTCTCTATGTCATCATGATTTAGTATAGAACCTTTAAATATCTGAAAGGTTTAACTTCAATACACTGTCCAATATTAAAAAAAAAAATTGGATTACTTTCAATAAATACCCTCGAAAAATACTCTTTTCTCACCTTACATTCGTTAATCTATGTGTTTTTTTTACACTCAATTCAAGTATGAATCACCATGCCAAATGATCAAACTAGCTGCGGGCAATCGGAGATGAATGTGTACTTCTTGCGTTTTCTTGATTTTTGTTCCTCAACTTGACTACAGATGCCAATATATACCACACCATCTTTCATCAAGTGTGAAAGCTTTTCCACCAGTTACAAGGGCTA